CATTCTTACCCCACACCTCTTGGAACCTTAGAGGAAGATTAAGGAAGGAAGAAAAGGGAAGAAGTAGGTCACTAGAACTTGGGTTCTTGCTTGAAATTTTGATTCAAGTAGGGGTTTTCTTTCATTATCTTACATTGAGACTAGGGTTATACATATATGTTTTCTTTGATTCTACATCATATTAATATGCTATGAAATCATGGATTCTTGATGTTTTTACAAATGTTAGCACGTTTTAAACAATGGGATAGTTGGGTAACCATCAAAGTTCTTTTCTCATATTCAAAACCCTAGATTTCAAGAGAAGTGAGTTTTTCTCTTGATTTCTCCTTTTCTTGATTCAAAACTTTAGTGTTTCATATTGAACAACACAATGGTATTTATGATGATCTCTTGTTAATTTTTTTTAAATTGTTCTATTGTGAAATAAATGTGGATTTGGATGTGAAAAATTAGGGATTTATGAAATTGAGTGTGTTTGAGAAATTGTTGGTGATTGTATCTCATGGAGGTGTTTGGATGACCATGGATGGCCATTGATCGAGTATCATAAAGTGGGTAGATGTGTGTAGTTCTTACTCCATGTGGGTTTGAACTTTTCCTACCACTCGTAGTGGGGTTGGTGTCTTGCGAGGACCAAACCACTATTAGCTCATGAGTGCTGTGTCAAAGGATTAATATACTATGTCAGGGTCCGATTCGTTATTGCCGGTGCATTGGTATGGGACAATGCATCGGTATGCGCTCTTCCCGAAGTTGATATCCTTGCGAGGAATTGTGTGTGTGTGGACCAGGATATTCTCTACGTATTTATTCATGCGATTATCTTATATCAGACTTGAGATACATTGTGGTTATTGTTTATTGCGTTATCTTTTAGATATGATTATCTTGAAAATTGTTGTGAGAATAATTACTCTTTGGAACGGTTATTTATGGTGGGATTGACTTTACTCTTGCACTTAATTATTCTTAATGTATAAACTTGAGATCTTTGAAAATGTCATGTTTTCTTTCAAAATTTACGTATGCTATTTGTGAAATGAGACCGACCATTTTCTATATTTTCCAAACCTTGTTAGAGTTTGAGAGAATTTTCCTACAGTGCGTAGTGCTCATCCCCTACCAATAATATTTTTTTTTAGATTTCGTGTTAAAGGAATATCTCAGCGTTGACGAGCCGAAAAATTGGGAGGCTCCACTGGAGGGGAACCTAGATCCCGAGGTGGATATTTAGAGTTATAGTTTATTTTTGTGCTAGACTAAGGAATTTTTTTACAATCATGTATAGTCTAGTATTTTGTTTATTCCGCTGCTAAGTTTGAATGTAATTCTTTTGGAATGTAAATGTCATAGCTTGGCCTATTCTTTTGGAATGATATGATGGATATTACATGTGGTGAATAAAAATTTATTATTTGATGGGTAAATGGACCCGATGTGGTCAATGTAGTATAATTGCACAGGTTGTGTTTTGGGTAGGGTTCCCCGTATAAAGGAGACTCTGCCCAAATTTTGTTAAATTAAGAACCCCCGATTTTTGGGGTGTTACAACTTTCAATCAATATTCTATTAAAAAAGGAATATACTAGCGCCAATATATTCTAAATTTGGAAATAGAAATTCCTAGACATTCTCTTACATTTGACTATTTGTTCGATTCTAAATAGCTAAGAAAAAGGAGACAAACAGAGCTCCAGATTCTATTCATAAACAAATATAAATTATGATGAGAAACAAAAATGTGGGGCAGAAAATAACGAAATTGAAATGTTGCAGGGCAGAAATTGATCAAGAAATACATGGAGTTGAACATAATAAAATAAGAAATTGAAAAATTTTGTTGAAATTGTTTGTTCGAAAATTTCACGAAAAGCTAATCATAGGTTTTTCTCTCAATCAGAAGAATAAAGCCGTTATGCTCATTGATAAAGTTGCTGAAGAGGTGAAATGTAATAAAGGTATAGAAGAGGGAACAAAGAGCAAACTTACTATGCTCGATGAAAGGCTTGAAAAAGAATGCGTCCAATAGTCACCAACAAAAGTCTTCAGAAGGAACGTCACGGCGACTGACATAACATGTATTGAGCCTGTCATGACACTCACAATGGCCGCGGTATGGGTGAAATTTAGCTTCCAAACATCCGATAGAAACACCATGATGTTCCACATGGAATACTTTGATATCTCGTTTGCCCAACTCAGCACTTGAAAATCGATTTAGGGAGAAAAAAAAAATCAAACACAATGAAATTTATCAACCTAGAGGTAGAGTTACAATGATCAATACAATACTGGTTTGGGTGGTTTGTTCTCCAAAACAATTTTCTAGCCAAAATAGAAAACAAGAAAAACAAGGAAAATAACCCAAAACTCTTTAATGAGGTCTCTCTTTCAAACCTCCTTAGTAGCAAAACATGGCATGGTATAAAAAGTTTTTTTTTTTTTTGCTGGTCTTTCCCTCCCAATAATAGATAATAAAATAGAATAGCGGGTGTGTTTGAGCTGTCTAAGCTCTTCACTTAGAAAAATACAATAATAGTCTAGATCGTTTAGATCTGAAGGTTTATATTACAATTTAATACTTTAACTTTTTAACTACAATAATTCATTTAAATAATAGTCAACTAATAATAAGTAAAAGAGAAAAATAATGTTATTAGAACTTAAAATTTTAATTTAATTTGTTGACCTAATAATGTAACTTCGTTGTAATTATTAGAATAACACTAAATTCTAATGTTTGATGGGGATATGATCAATTCAATGACTATAGTAAATTAAGTCCTAATAGCATCGCTCAAAAAACAAATGTCTTGGGTTCAGTGAAAAAGAACTCAAATGTCGTCGCTTAATACTTGAGCTCGAGTCTCTATAACCAGGGGCGGAGGGAGGCATGGACTTGCCCCCCCCCCCCCCCCCACCTCTTTTTTTTTTTTTTTTTTTAACTCCCTTC